TGCCTGTACGTATGTATGTATGTATGTATGTATGTATGTATGCAGGTTGTATGTAGGTATGTATGTCTGTATGTATGTATGTAGGTATGTAGGTATAAAGATATAGATATAGTACAGATATAGATGTATTTATACATATTAATATAGAGATAAACGCAAATGTACCAAGACACACACGTGTAGGTTCTGCCATGGAGCGACTCGGACAGGTCAGAGATGTGGTGTCTCCTCCTCTCCAGCAGACGCCACTGGACTCGGGGCACGGGGAAGAGAGTTGTCAGGGGTTTGGCTGAGGGTTTGGGGGTTTAAAGCCGCTTATGGTTAATGTTTCCCCTAGTCACAAATGTAACTCCTTGTTTGGCCACCGCTTGGTAATTTCAGGGTCGAAACTCTGAAATGATTAGCCGAGATAGATAATTTCTGGTCTCTGGCTTTGGACACTTCTTGCCTGCTTTTTGCATCTTTGAGGTCTGGATTGATTCTCGGGAAGCGAAACGGGGTTCTGGAGTACCATACTTGAATCCCTTGAGGGGGGACCCTGATCCTTGGAGGAACTATGATGACATGTCAGTGTTTGTTTTTTCTCCCTTTCCCTTCAACCCTAAACCCTAAACTCCTAAACCCTCTAGAGCCTTCAGCCCCTAAGCGTATCATTGTAGTCAGCGGCAGAAAGCCTGTTTTTTAGGGTTTAGGGTTTTAGGGTGTACCATAGAAGACAGTTTTTTGGGAGTTGTTACGTAAAGGAGTCAGTATGAACTACAAGCTTATGTTGTTTCTCCCACGTTACTTCAAAGCCCAGTTGTTAAGCATAACATGCCCTAAACTGGCCCTCCAAACCATGCAGCCTAAACCTTAAACCCCTAAACCTAAACCCTCAACCCTAAACCCCTAAACCCTGAGCCCTAAAAATCAACCCCAGCAGCTCTGAACCCCAAACTCCAGCCCCTAACCCCCTAAACCCCAAAGCTTTTCAGCGACTCTAAGGTTAGAAGCATGGGCCCCTGATATGGACCCTTAGGCCTTCTAGGAAGTTTCTAGACAAAGAGGGTATATGTATAAGAATCCCAGGGTAAAGGGCCCATGCTAGGGGCCTTATGGCTTCAACCTTACCCCAAACCCTAAACCCTTAACCCCTAAACCTCTAAACCCTAAACCCTAAACCCTAAACCCTGCTTATGCTGGGCCCCGCCTGTGACAACCTTGCTGCCTTCCGACGTCGGAGCTTGCCCGCATGCCACAGCTCCCAGTTGGGAGGTTACTGCAAAGATCTGGAGGCTACGTTGTCGGAAGCCGCGACTGTGGCGTCTGTGCCCACTCGCGGCCAAATTCTGATTGAATTTGCTTCGCGATCGGCTGTCGAGGTGTTGTCCGATTCGCCGATGTTGGATAGCCCAGCTATTGGGCTACATGGGCTCGCAGGGTTTATGGGTTTTGATGCGGCTACAAACCCAAACCTGCAAATACGCAGGTATTATTTCAAGCGTGTGCGCCCATCCAATGCCACGTCCAACACGAGCGGAGACACAGTGGTGGACCAAGGCCTCAACGCAATTCCAGACTACACTCAGGTGGCGTCAGCTACTAATCCTACCGCCGCGCCTCCTGCGCAGATGGCCAATGTGTTTAGAGCTCGGGGGCCTAAACAATGAGACCGGGTGTGAGAGCTCCAAGGCAGCACGGTTGGCCTTGGCCAGTGGGGCCGCCCTTTGCCTACTGCCCCCAGCAGCCTGCAGCTCAGTTCGGAAAAGGAGCTCGGTACGTATTCGCCTGGTGCCAGATTTTGCCGCCTGGCGAATATCGATGGGCACTGGAGTCAAATGACCCCGAGTTCGAGATGTTAGCCAGGCGGCTGACGGCCGAGGAGTTGAAGAGGCGTTATTCTACTATGACACAGCGGCTGGTAAAGCTGGTGCCGTAGCGCTACCACCACTGGAGAACGTTCGTTTCTTTTCTTTAGTGGTCGGATTTGTCATTGATTCGGGTCGGGGTGATTCTTGGTTTCCTTGAAGTGATTGATTCTGGATCGAAGATCCCTTCTCTGTTGGGGCCTCACGAGGTTCTCATGTGATTCAAAGATAATGGTATTCTCTGATAATTGAGGCCCCAATAGCAGGCTCCTCCTGGTGAGGAATTCTAGACTGTTCAGCAGGTGGAAAAGGGCCCGTAAAAAAAAAATCCCTAAACCCTGAACCCTAAACCCTACACCCTACACCCTAAACCCCCTAAACCCCCTAAACCCCCTAAACCTTAAACCCCCTAAACCCTTAACCTTAACGACCTGAAGCCTCTCAGAAGCACTGGCCCAGACCCCGTTGAACACCTACCTGTGGCCCAAGAGACTTACCGTTTAAGGAACTATATATAGAAATCATAAGAAGGAACCCAAAAAGGTAGGCTTTTTCGGCTACAGGTACACCTTAAACCCTGAACCCTTAGATGCTAAACCAGTTGAGGGTGTAGGATCTAGGGTCTAGGGTTTGGGGTTTTGGGTTTTAGGGTTTAGGGTTTTAGGGTTTAGGGTTTTAGGGTTTTGGGTTTCAGGATTTAGGGGTTGAGGGTTTGGGGTTTTGGGTTTTAGGGTTTAGGGTTTAGGGTTTAGGGTTTAGGGTTTAGGGTTTAGGGTTTCAGGATTTAGGGGTTGAGGGTTTGGGGTTTAGGGTTTAGGGTTCAAACCCCTCAACTATAAGCCCCAACCTTCCAAGCCCCAAACTAAATCCCGAATCTGGGAACTCCCAGGACAACCCTACTAAGAACTCCTAATGGGCCCTAAACAAACCGTAAATCCTAACCCCCCCAAGCTATAGTTATAGTATTATATACCCCAAAGCCTTATTCTAACAAATAAGGCCCCTACACTATCCCTCAAACCCCTAAACCCTGAACACCAAAACCCTAAACCCTAAACCCTAAAACCCTAAACCCTAAAATCCTAAAACCCTAACACCCTGAAGCCCTAAACCTTCAGGCTCCCTTTCCTGTCCACCGCAGTGATGGCTGCTTGCAACGGGCTCACCGTGGTGGAGGGCGAGGTGGGACGTTCCCAGAGTCAGGAATCCCCGAGTTTTGGGCAGGGTCTGATGTTGCATAATTATGTATGTATGTATGTATGCAGATGTATACATCCATACATACATATGTATATATATATATATACGTGTACATATGTATATATATATATATACGTGTATATATATATATGCTAGCCCC